ACATTGCTGCGCGATTAATATTTTCTTTTTCTAACTAATTGTGAGACGTTACGTTCCAAACGCGCTCCCCCGCGCCTTGCCCACACTGGCGTCATCTGCAAGCACACGTACGCACGAAATAATGAGACTTAAGTAGGTCGATAACGTCAACGATACCGACCATCGATTTGTGAAAGATATAACATAATGTATGACATAATATCTATGTGAATCTAACAATAAATAAATGAATGTTTGTGTATGTATCTATAAGATATGTTTGTAAAAATATATTAAAGAAAATTATTTAATGTACGAAGTTTTGAATCGTGTATCACATCGACTGTTTATTAATCCCCCTGGCGGAAAAAAATTTCTATGAATAACTACAAAATTTAACTAGAAATAGAAATTTGTACATTTTTGTTGAAATATTTAATTTTTTGTATAAATGGTTATTTTTTTGTAGAAATATCTACAAAATAGTACCACAAATTACAATGTTCTCAAATCAAGAAATTATTGCAAGTAGTATTTTATGAAAAACTACAAATTATAAAAAATAGTACACAAAGATCTACAAATTTTAAAAATTTAAGAAGAAACAAAATCTTAAAAAATTAAAACATCTACTTACTTGTAGAATACTACAAAAATTTACAAAAGTGTTCCAATTCTAGCATTTTCATGTAGGATTTTGTAGTACTTCTTAAATTCATGTAGAATTTAATAGATTCTGGCAATTATATTTTATAATTTTTTAAATTTTGTAGAAATATTTCCGCCAGGGCCCGTATCTTATTTATCTCGTTTAAACTTTATATTACATACGTAAATCAGTGACACTGCCATAAAATTTAAATTATCACAATTTAAGCTAGCAGCGATGTAAAAAAAAACAAATACGATTTCAAAAATAAAAGCGATGAAAATTGTGAAATAAAAATAATGCGTTTTGCAAAATTTTGTTGAATTAAGCTAAGAAAAGCACATCATGCCGTTAGGTACATAATAACGCAGCACGTGTGCTCGTTATTGTTTTATCGTTATGCTAACAATAAAAAATTATACATGCGCGAGAGAGAGAGAGAGAGAGAGAGAGAGAGAGAGAGAGAGAGAGAGAAAGAGAGAGAGAGAAAGAATGTGTGTTTCGGCGATATCTTTGCAGCGCTACTCATGTCAAATTACGATCCTTAAATGCGTGCCGCAAAGTGACGATACAATCTTGCAATTAAAAAAATCGTTCTTTTTTTAATTTTGTTTGCTCCGCCCGGCGGTCGCGACGGTAAACGCAAAGTGGCCGTACGTACGCGGACGCGCTCGACGTTGTAAACAGTTGTAAGTACCATAAATGACGTATGAAGGCGTTTGCATGTAGGACATAGGGGTGAAACGCAGGTAAGGCATGCGAGCCGTGTCGAGCGCGACACGCGGGACGCTTATCACTCGCTGCGGTACAAATGACGTAAGTCGCGTCGCGCCAAAAGAGACGCCGTAGTATAGCTCGTTCGCGGCATCGACGATTTGTCGATTTAACGAGCGCGCGGTCAAATCAAATCTGCGCCTGAAACCTAGAGATCGATTATGTATATCTTGAAACGAGGTAAAAATTACAAAAGTGAACAGATTTACTAGATTTCAACAAATAAAATCGTAGACACTCTACTAAATTTCCTTATACTTTACATAATCGACCCCCTAACGCGGCTTCTCCTCGGCCGACCTTCTCGCACGAATCATACATCGCCTGCAGTTGCTATTACCGATTAAATTGCCAAATTCGAATGTTTAAAGAAACCAAGCGCGCCCGAGATTCCTTTAAACGAGAAATGTATCTCGATTATATAACAACGAAAAGAACACGTCAATAATTTTTTTTCAAATTAATTCAAATCTGTTAAAAAAATATATTGCTACTATCAGATTTATACGTATTTGTCTTAACACGCTTATTTCGTGTATTACAGAGATGCAAGTCCGGTTGCTAGTTTACAGGATTCAACAATGTGATAATATTCAACACTGTTAATTAAGAGAAACACTTTACCATACTACAAAGTAGATATTTTTATAGTAAAAAAAAAATATATAATATACGCAGTAAACTTTCCTCTTCTCTCTCTTTCTCTCTTCCTTATTGTAAATAATAAAGTTTAATCGATGGTACATTATATCTTTAAATATATAATATAAAATAACATATATAATACGTGTGATAATTAATTAATAAACGGAAATAACAATGTGACATATTTTACCGTTGAAATCAGTAATATTAGGAAAATCAGAGAAGATATTATAGCTCTACCATATATAACGAACGAATCGATAATCAAGAATAGGAGAGTTATATACCGTATCGTGAAAAATTACACCGTCGGCATTATACGTCCGAACTCCGACTACGCCGCGAGCACGTAGTTTCCACTGAATTTAGTTTTTGCAATTCCGCATGAGTGAACGCAACAGGCGGCACTTCCCACACGGCCGCACATCCGTGGTTTAAACATCGCCGAATTCGAAAGGCCTGAGAAAATTCCGTCACCGAGAGAGACGCCATGTTTTCCCGCGCGACTCCGTAGTCAACCGCGAACTGCCACCTAGGAGCCGGCGCGGGAAGCGTATCCGTAAACGACTATTTAACACGAAGGGTAAATCAAAGTTTACGCAATGCTCTTTTACTGACTGTTAGTGCACTAGTGCATGTTAACTGTTAATAACAATAATGAGTTATGTGCTTAGAAATATATACTTATGGTAAACTAGTATGCTTTTTCCTGTAGACATAAATAGTATATCTATCTCCCCCTATCTATCTCCCCCTATAGAAAAACCTAACACTATCGATGAGATACTATACAATTATAAAAATAACCAGTCATAGGCAAATTTTTGTTACTATTGAAATTAATGAGCCCAATGGTTATATTATTATTATATGGAGGGGTAAAAACCACAGTGGTGTAAAGTCAAATATTTTTAAAAATTTGACTTACACTACTGTGATTTTTACCCCTCCTTATGTAAATGCATCATAAATAAGCACACACATTTATGACAATAATATTATCGTATATTGTTGCAAAATTGCCAGTGGAATTTTTTCCATGGTCATCGCCCGCATATACATATATATATAATGAAGCAAATATAATAATCATAAAAGTGCAATTTTTAATATAAATCAAATATTACCGTATACATATATGTATGTATATCCACGAAACATCAGGATCATAATAAATTATAAAATTAATATTAGATTATAACATTATAAGCTGGTCATCCAAATTTTAGTATAACGACTTTCATTCCGTCTTGAATAGTACTTTAATAATATTTTCTAACTGAACCTTTATAAAACTGTTAAATCGGTAATGCCGACAAATATTAGATTCATGACAGTAGGCTCGAGAAAAAAAAGGAAATAAGGAATAAGATTGTGTAAAAAAATGTATTAATCTAGATCGAACTTCTCGAAGATTGCACGTTATAAAATTCGTATATCTTCTCGGCGCATCTTAAGGGCTTAGATATTTCCTTCTTATTTTCGACCTATTTAAAAAAAATTATAGGCAAAGGAAAAAGGCACACCCCCTTCACCCTCTCCTACACCGTAATAATCGACATGGCCAGAGAGAGAAGCGCGCGCGCCCTTCTTCAATATAAACCGTACCCGTAATGTAATGATTCCCACCCTCCACCAACGTTATATAAGAAAAACACCTTTCATCGCCCGATATACGGTCCTCGATATACGACCTCGATGTACGGTCAAACGGACAGAGAGCATTGGGTCAGTCAATGCATAATGCATGCGCCATGAGATTAGAAACGGGGATCGCGGAACTACATATGATAGAGCTATTTTATATCTGAGAGCTTGCTAAACGCATATACTCACTCTCCTTTCGCCCTTCACTCCACTTTCACTCACGGCCCTTTTGCCGCCGTAAAGACAGAGTCCGGGTTTTTTTTTTTTTTTTTTGAATGCGACTGAGCTATAACTGCTTCTCGAACACGACAACGTATTTTATTGCCTCTCTTTACTCGATTCATTTCGGAATGAGGGAGACGGCAAAACGTATATAAGTGTATATTATTCGATCTTGCATAAGATACTAATATGAATTCGACGCTTTTCGAAGACAAGCGAAAAGCAAATTTACAAGATGACAATCAAGAAGTTATTGAGAAAGTTGTACAGCTATTATTTTGTAATAAATAAACAAAATGAAATTTGTTGGGGATTCCATGCAGTGATTCATTATCGTTAATTTTGTTTTTTTTTCTTTATATATATTACATGTATTATTTTATAATCTCTTCTGGATACGATTCTCGTCTATCACGTAGAATAAATGTATTTATCACGATAATATACATAAGTATAGGAAACGCCGAGAGGCCCGAAATCAATTGACACGCGCCTGAGTTTGACGAGCGCCAATTAGAGCGATCTCCAGCGTTAATCCCCGCCAGAAAACCGTTTCCGAAAAAACTCGCGACACAGTCGTCCGGACACCTCGCAAATGTACACATCAATCATTACAAGCGAAGTCCGCGCTTCGACGGTCCGATTTCTGTGCGCAAACGAAACATTAAATAGAGAGACTTTCTTCTCGCTATCCGTTGGAAGGAGAACAGCTAGGCCAGTGGTGCCTCCGCCCCGTGTGTCTCGGCGTTTCTAAACTCAATTCCGGACAATTAATAACAGAATAAAGTTTGTTAAATTATAAACGCTGTACTTTTCATTTCTGCGGTATATTCGGATCGACAGTCTTTGTCCGTCGCCTTTGGTCGTCAGTCGTGCTCGTCAACAATATCGGTCACCGGATTTGAATTGCGACCTCCGTGCGAAAAACAAAACGAAACCGCACGTGATATCTCGTGTCTTCTCTGGACGGGTCCGGCGCCGCGGCGCCGGCGGTTCGTTCGGCGTCAAGTCAGTGCGCGCCCGAACATAAAATTGGTCCTTCGAGCCGGATCTAAATATTTAGTGCGGCTCTTCAGCCGTTATCATGACTGCAGTGCCGGAAGTCGCCACAACCACGAATGACCTCCTGGCTCAACAGCAGGCGTTGATGCATTCGATCACTCGAGCGCTCGATAATTTCAAGAAGCTCGGGAAAAACAATTACACCGCCGCAAAGGTTCGAGCGCGAATAGCCAGCACCAAAGAAGTTTGGACGCAATGCCTTCGCGTGCACTCAGCCCTTTTGCAAGCAATTCCGGAGGCGAAAAGGAGCACGCTGGATTATTTTAAAAACAAGCTTTTTGACCAGGCCGAGGAGATCCATTTGACGACGTTAGACTACATGGCCGAATGTTTGGAGGAACTCGCGCCGCTGCCGCCGCTCATGACGGCGAACAGTCATGGGTCATCTGCCTCATCGTTCTCGCTGTCGCATCTGCCGCCCAACAACATTCCACCGTTCTCGGGGAAGTACGAAGAATGGGAGACGTTCCGCGATCGCTTCACGTCCCTCATTATAAACAATCACGAACTTTCTGCGTTTGCGCGAATGCATTTTTTGTCGTCAAGCCTCACCGGGCGGGCGCTCGAATCCATTCGAAGTATCCCGATAACCGCGGATAATTTTGAAATTGCGTGGAAAACCCTCGAGTCTCGGTACGAAAATAAGCGCCGATTAGTCAAGATGCATGTTTCCGCGCTATATAATTTGCCAAGCGTCTCCCGAGAGTCAGCAAGCGAACTCAGTGAACTCCGGGATAAAGCAAATCGTGCAATCGCGTCGCTAAAGAATTTAGATCGATCCGAAACCGACATTCTCAGCGACATGCTCGTGTATAGCGTCACGCAAAAGATAGATCCCGCCACTCGGAAAGCGTGGGAACTAAAGGGTAGGGATGACGCGCGGATCCCAACATATGACGAGCTCGATCGATTCCTCGATTCTCGTGCTCGCGCGCTCGAAGAGTTAAACCCCGCGAATGTTACCAAAGAAGTTCGCTCGTCGAAGGTGACAAGCGCTACCGCATCGGGATCTTCTCCGATTTCGTGTTCGCTTTGTAAAGCGTCTCACTTTATGAATAAATGTCAACTCTTTATAAACAAGAGTCCGAGTCAACGACTAGAGGCGGTCAAAAAGGCTAATCGTTGTACAAATTGCTTAAGCGCCAAACACGCCGTGCAATTGTGTTCAAGCAAATATTCGTGTCGCATATGTAAAAAAAAGCACCATTCGATGCTACACGTCGACTCGGATACTTCTGCTGCGACCGCGTCGATCACCGATGCCGCGCCAATTATGACATTGTTCTCGACCGCTAAAGTGTCGTCGATGCCTCCCGTGTTGCTCGCGACGGCTAGAGTGACAGTCAGTTTCCCATCCGAATCGCCGAACGGTCGCGCTCGCGTTGTTCGAGCGCTCTTAGATCAAGGATCGGAGATGACGTTCATTACTGAAAGATTGAGGCAAGGCTTAAAATTGCGTCGCGTTAGCATGCCCGTCTCGATCTCCGCCATCGGAGGCGTCGACGCCGGAATATGTCGATACGCGGCCGAAATTCAAATTTCTCCGCTCGGCCAATCATCTCTCGCGTTCAAGACCATTGCGTCCGTAATGAAAAGTCTAACGAAGTATACTCCGTCGCCCGTAACGTCGCCCGTCCAATGGAGCCATGTAGCCGATCTTGCGCTCGCGGATCCGGATCCTACGAACTCGGACTCCATTGACGTAATTATAGGTACCGATCTTTACGGCGACTTGCTGCTAGACGGCATTCGAAAGGGCTCTCGCGGTCAACCCCTCGCTCAGAATACTGTTCTCGGTTGGGTGCTGTCCGGTCCCGTGACTGACGCACAAGCGCGTCCTCGAACAATCACGGCCCAGCACTGTTCAAATTCCCCGTCTCTCGACGAGGAACTCCGACGTTTCTGGGAAATCGAAGAGATTCCTCGCGCCGTTCCGCTAAGTCCGGAAGAGCAACAGTGCGAAGATCACTTCCTCGCCACACATTGGCGCCGCTCCGACGGACGATACGTGATTCGCTTGCCTTTTAAAACCGGCCCCCCAATCGAGATCGGTGATTCTTATAACTCAGCCGAGCGACAGCTGAGAGGTCTTGAACGCAGGTTAAACGCCGATGAAAGATTAGCGACGGAATATCGCGCCTTTATCGAGGAGTACGAGCGACTCGGGCACATGAAGCGTGTGCCGCCCGACGCAAGCGCGTCGTCTCAGCGCGTGTACATTCCGCATCACCCCATTATTCGCGAAAGCAGTACCACCGCTCGGTTACGGGTCGTCTTTAATGCATCGAATCCGACAAGCAATGGCACGTCACTGAATGACCACTTGCTAACCGGGCAAAAATTACAGACCGATTTAGCCGCAGTTCTGCTACGATGGCTGCTACCTCGATACGTCTACTCCGCAGATATTACGAAAATGTATCGTCAAATCGAAATTGATCCCCGTGACGTCGACTATCAGCGAATATTATGGTTAGATCGCGAAACTCGAGCCATCATTGCATTTCTGCTGTTAGTCTTAACGTACGGAACGGTTAACGCTCCTCACGATGCACTTCGCGTTCTGGAACAACTAGTTCGGGACGAGGGAGGCTCATTTCCGTTAGCGATTCCGGTGGTTAGAAAGTGCAGGTACATAGACGACTTTCTCTTCGGGGCGGACGACATCCCGCTGCTTCGTCAGACGCGCGATCAAGTATGCGCGTTACTGAGTCGGGGTCGGTTCGAATTACGTAAGTGGGCGAGCAACTCTCCGCAACTTCTGACCGACATTGACATTGAAAATCACGGACTAGCGTGTTCGAAAACGTTGCAGGCCGATGAGCAACTGAAAGTGCTCGGAATAAGCTGGAATCCCGCACTCGATGTTTTCCAGTTCAACGTTTCGCTCCCTCCTTCCGTTCCAAAAACCAAGAGGTCGATCCTATCCCTGGTAGCGAAAATCTTTGATCCGTTAGGCTGGGTCACGCCCGTGACAATAAACGCAAAGATCTTTTTGCAACAACTCTGGCAGGCGAAAGTGGAATGGGACGAGGCCCTCGCGGACAAACTTCTCGCGCAGTGGGAGACGATTCACGCGTCCCTGGCGACGATCAACGGTCTTCACGTGGACCGTTGGGTGCAATATGGTTCCGACACTGCGAACTGCGAGCTGCACGGCTTTTGCGACGCCTCCTCCACCGCATTCGCGGCGGCGGTTTATATTCGCGTCACCTCCTTGGTGGGCGAGACGACGTCCAGATTGCTCATCGCCAAGTCAAAGGTCGCTCCGATCAAATCCTTAAGTATTCCTCGGTTGGAATTATCTGCTGCCGTTCTATTGGCTAGGCTGTTAGAATTCGTGCGATCGTCGCTACAATTAACTGCCATACCTTGCTTTTGTTGGACGGACGCTCTCGTCGTTCTAGCGTGGGTGACTCAACACTCTTCGAAGTGGAAAACCTTCGTTTCCAATCGCGTCTCAGAGATCCAATCTCGCATTCCTTTCGCCACCTGGAAACACGTGCCAACCGAAGACAATCCGGCCGACTGCGCTTCTCGCGGCATTCTCGGATGTCATCTCGCGTCCCACCATTTGTGGTGGCAGGGGCCTTCGTGGTTGAGACTTCCTAAAAATGAGTGGCCAGCTCAACGCGAACCGTCATCTCACGATACGACACTCGAGCAAAATCCGCGCATCACTACGCACATAGCTAAGCCGATCGAGCGGTGGGATTTAATGGTGCGTTACTCGTCGTGGCCAAAATTAATCCGAGTCACCGCTTATATTCTTCGGTTCATATCTCGAACTCGCCGTATCGACGCTAACGTCAGCGAGGCGAGTCCGCTTGCTCTTTCCGCGGATGAGTGCCGATCGGCACGAAACTTTTGGCTTAGACGAATCCAGAAAGAAAAATTTCCCGTTGAACGAGAGGCGCTCTTGAGCCGAAAGACAATCTCGTCGAAAAGTGCGCTCATATTGCTCAATCCTTTCATCGGAGAGGATAAATTAATTCGCGTAGGCGAGCGGTTGGCCCACGATCCGCTACCACTCACCGCGAAACACCCAATCATCCTCTCCTCTCACCCCCTAGTCTCCCTACTAGTCCAGCACGCGCATATAAGGTCACTTCACGCCGGTACGCAGCTCACCCTCGCTACTTTACGCCGGGACTTTTGGATATTGCGCGCGCGAAACATCGTAAAGGCCGTAATCTACAGATGCGCAACATGCGCCCGCGAAAAGGCGGCAACTCCTTCTCCGATTATGGGGCAGCTGCCTCATGTGAGAGTCTCCCCTCCCGCGCGCGCGTTTCAGCATTGCGGTCTGGATTATGTCGGTCCGATGCATGTTCGCCCGATGTCCGGTCGTGGGATCTCATCCCACAAAGCGTATATCGCAATATTTATCTGCATGGCCACGCGCGCCGTGCACCTCGAGATAGTAGACGGCTATTCGACTCCTGCATTTTTAGGGGCATATTTGCGCTTCTGCGCCCGACGAGGCCTTCCCGCGTCTATTTATTACTCCGACAATGGAACGACGTTCGTCGGCGCGGACCGCGAACTTCAAGCCGCGTTTCGCTCGGCCCTGCGCGATCCGAATTTCTTAAATCAAACCGCTTCCGATCAAGTTTCGTGGCACTTCATACCTCCGGCGGCCCCGCATTTCGGCGGGCTATGGGAAGCCGGAGTTCGAAGCGTGAAGCACCATCTCCGAAGAGTGGTGGGAACGCATACACTCACGTTCGAGGAATTCGCGACACTCCTGTGTAACATTGAAGCCTGTCTAAACTCCAGGCCACTAGCTCCGCTCACCAATTCCGCTGACGAATATGAGGCGCTTACTCCCGGCCATTTTTTGATAGGCGCCGCGCTAACCGCGAGCCCCGAAGCCTCCGTGCTTCATCTAAATAAAAATCGGCTTTCGCGTTGGCAAGTGGTCCGTCAGATGACGGAACGGTTCTGGAGGCTGTGGCAGACCGACTACGTCAACACGCTACAACAAAGAGCCAAATGGGGAAAAACCGGGAAGGAGCGAATTCAAATAGGGCAGCTCGTACTACTTCGAAACCCTTTACTACCACCATGCAAGTGGGAATTAGGCCGCATAATTCAATGTCACGCGGGCTCCGATGACGTTGTACACGTCGTAACAGTAAAGACCGCGACGTCCGTATATAATCGGCCCGTTGTAAAAATCTGCCTATTAACCGATCGATATTGATAACGCCGAAAAGCCGGCGTAAATCTGTAAACCCCGTATTGCCCGAACTTAGCGACCGCCTCAGGCAACGCGCGTCAGCTCAGCCATTCGGTTATCGAAACGATGGTTTCGAGGCGGGCGGTATATATGTTGGGGATTCCAGTGATTCATTATCGTTAATTTTGTTTTTTTCCTTTATATATATTATATGTATTATTTTATAATCTCCTCTAGATACGATTCTCGTCTATCACGCATAATAAACGTATTTATCACGATAACATACATAAGTATAGGAAACGCCGAGAGGCCCGGAATCAATTGACACGCGCCTGTGAGTTCGACAAGCGCCAATTAGAGCGATCTCCAGCGTTAATTCCCGCCAGAAAACCGTTTCTAAAAAGACTCACGATACAGTCATCCGGACACCTCGCAAATGTACATACATATCAATAATTACAAGCGATTCGAGCGAAATTAAGTCCGCGCTTCAACGGTCCGATTTCTGTGCGCTATATAGGCCGTTCCGTTCTCTCGCGCTGGGCGCGCAACTCTACGCCTTTTCGGTTTCTCGCGCCGTGCGTGCAATTCCAATCGAACCGAAGACATTGGTGCAATTCGCAAACGAAGCGTTAAATAGAAAGACTTTCTTCTCGCTATCCGTTGGAAGGACAACAGCTAGGCCAGTGGTGCCTCCGCCCCGAGTGTCTCGGCGTTTCTGAACTCAATTAAAAATTTAACTGCAAGTAGTATCATACACTAAAAACCAACGATACATGATGTAATTTATGTGCTCGATATTGTATTTAATCTAATAACTTTTACCGGAGGAAAGAATCTTTTTCACAGAAAAGATCTGTACATGAGTGTGAGTTTCGTGTGTGGGTATTCTATAACATTCTGATATAGGCCGATATTCATATCATCGTCTTAAGTAATATCTTAAGATTGCTGATACGGCTCTGTGTGTGATTGGTTTATAACATTTTAAGACAACCTTAAATATAAGATTCGACTATGAATACCGGCCATAGACACACTAGATAAACTATACGCTGTCTTTGGAGTTAAGAAGTCAGCATTAATACAAACAAAATATTATTAAACACGACTAATTTTAAATAAATTTTCGTGATTATGTGGACTAGAGATAATTGAAAAGTATGGACATTATCGATTTTTGATATAAATTTTTCAAACTGTCAATGAAAATTTGAACAGATCATAATATATAGTATTAAATTTATAATTTATTATTATACAGAAATACTTCAATAAGTTGTAAATAAGTATACATATTTACTATGCAGTTACAACATATAACTATATATCAATATAATAACAATTTACGAAACTGTATTTTTTTTCTATAATTATTATTCATGTGTATAATCAAACACGAGTGATAACAACAAAAATGTAATTTTAAATAAAAACCATATAATATCAACGTACCAATAAGTCGATAGTAAAATGACCACGTTGTCAATTGGCTGATTTAAAATAAAAATATCTGATTGGCTAGTCTAGTGGAAAAACTCCAGCCACCGGGGGCTGTAAATGGCTGGTGGTCAATCGCAACTTGGTCAAATGGGACGCTCCCCACTAATTCAGAATGAATTTATCTTTTTTCTTCCAATGTGGAGTAAAAAAGATAAACCCTGAACTAGTGCAGCCAGTGCAGTCCATGGTGAAAGGAAAACACCTTAGTGCTGGTCTACAACCTTGCTTTAAAGGATATTTAAGCTCTAAG